CACTTAAATATATCTATTTCAATAATGATTTATTAATTTATCAACTAAGAGTTGACAATGAAGAGATTCTTAAACTATAAATCAGAAAATATAACTTAAACTGATTGATTCTTAATCTCTGCAAATATCAATTTTATAAATGAAATTAATAATGAAGTTCATAATAAAGATAACTTTTCTTCATAATTCTTCTAAAATGGTTAAAGATGAGTTATAAAATTTGTACAATAATAAATAATATTGTACAATAATAAATGATTTAATTTGATATTTTGTATTAATAATACAAAAATTTTTTATTTTTTAAACTTTCAATTGACAAATCAATTAAGTTATTATTAAATTATTAAAATTTGTCAATTAAAAATTTAAATAATAAAGATTCTTAAATCTTTCATAATAATTTCTCAGAAAAATGAAAATTGAACAAAAAATTTTCATTTATAAATTTTGTGAAAACTTTCATGAAATGAATTTATAATTGAATACAATTCAAATAAAAAATGTATATACTCAATTTTAAATCTCGATCATTATTTGCAGTTATCTGTAAAGGTAAAATATAGATTTTAAAAATGATTATTTATTTTATCATATATGATTCTTTTCCAATTATACCAATCATTACATGGACTTTATCAGGTCCACTTTTCTTACTTCTCTAAAAATATTATCTGGATTACACTAACCATTACTTGGACTTTATCAAATCCACTTCTCTTACTTCTCTAGCACTAACTTTTATCTTAACACTTGCATTAATTATTATCTGAATTTTATCAAGTCACTTTTCTTAGAATAGTCTTTTCTTTCTTTCTTTTCTGATTAAAATTCAAATTTTCATACTTCTATATAATACACTCTCATTTAACAAAGTCTTACATTTTATCATATATTTTTCTGTCATAAAAGAATTGATTAATCCAATATTCATAAAAAACTATTTAATAAAATGAAGATATTCTTATGGACTATTATCGTCGAATCGAATAACAATTTATTAATAAAAAAGAAAAAAGCCAGATTTTCGGTTATAATAAAAAATATACAATCTTTATTGGATTCCTATTGAAACGTTATCTGTACGCAACAGGGCAAAAATATCCATTCGACCTTTCGCGTAATCGCGTAGGAAGAGGATCCATCAGTCGTTGAATTTCCGTGGAAATTCTCTTTACAATGTAATGAACTGTAAATTGGTAATTGAACTTTGCATATCGTAAAATTTGAATAATAAAGAATATTTGTTTTTAATTTTTTTTTTAATTTCTAATTTTTAAAATATTCGGTGTATATTTTCGGTAATATTTTCCTAAAACCAAAATATTTTGTTTCATTGGAAATAAAATATTATAAATTGTTGAAAAATATCATGAATTTATATCGATCTTTTATTTTCGTTACGTATTTCAACATTCGAATTTGCATCCGTTCTATTCAATTTATACAAATTGAATTACTATTACTTTTAATAATCAAATATGTAAATGAACAACGTTATTATGTAAATGATTTAAAATAATAATAATAATAAAGTCAAGATTAAAAAATATTTCTACGTCATATCGCGTCAATTTTATAAAATAATTCGTGAATATTACTGTTACATGAACATTCTTTCTTATTTTTCAATTTTAATAAAAAATTATAATTAATTATAATTCGATGATCAAATGTTGTCAATAGACATTTATTATCTTTTTAATATGAAGAAAAAAATGAATATATATAAAAATATGAAATCAATTCTATAAATCAAAATCAAAATATCAATTTATCGAAAATTGATTCACAAAATTTCAAACTTTGCTGCTATCAGAGTGACTTTAATTCGATGCAGAGGAACGTGGTTCGCGAAAAAAAAAACATTTATATTGCATAAAAATTCTTGTCACCCAGAGATATGTTCATTTCGTACAGAATTTCGTTAGATTTTTTTCAACTTAATTTGTCAGACTGGGTTACATGGTCAATGGCACTATAATTGGTTGTCTTCCGGATGAACAGATGGCTAGTAACACGCGGTGAATTTCGAGTGGCCAAAATTGAATCGTGCGTGGTATGGAATAGTAATTATCAGTCCAGTTAAACCTCGTTTTCGAGCCTCGTTTATCATAACCTGGCGCCATTATCAGTCCACCAATTCATCGTTATTCGAGCAGAAATTGATTTCTCGAATATATCTCTAAATCGAATATTTTTTTTTTTTTTTTTTTTTTTGTATAATCATTTAATATTTCTATTATTATTAAACCATCTCTCTCTACATATTAAGTGTATGAGATAGGTCTCAATCTATCCTTGTCTCGCTTATCATATAGATAATTATTTACAAAACACCATCGATCTCTCTCTTATTTTTATACTATTATTATTCTAATGAAGACTAGTTACTTACAAAAATATTTCTTTGAAAATAATTTAGGTTAAGTTAGGATTTAATTTTAATCAAGCTTATTGTTATACGCAAATTAATGACGAATTAGAAAGAAAATTAATCCAATGGAAAAACATGGAATCGATTAATTAAGTTTTCATTTAATTTTCATTTAGATATGGAGAGGAACATATTGTTTCTTTCGTATCTTTTTGAGCACGCTTCGTAACAAAAGGACAAAAATATTAACAGAATATTAACTTATCTTTTATATAAAAAAGTTGTCGTTATGCTGCACAAAGAATCGTGAATTTTCTTACGTCCATTTTCAGATCCGTTTAATCACTGGCCAACGATTCGAGCCAGTTGGTTTACACATAGCCATTAATAATTTATGAATTGGACGGATATCATGGACGTGCTGTTAACACCACGCTCGTGTTTAACATGTCGTAACGTATGGTTCACTGATGTAAACGAGTTGAAACGTGCTACGCATTAATCTTTCCCGAGTTTATGCATGTAACAACTAACTTACGTATCGTGGGGAGATGCAAAATTGAAACATTTGGGATAGCACAATGTCAACGATCCGAAAGCTATATCAATCTTTTCTCCAATTCGAATTGAATTCCCTTTTGCTAACCAACTCGATTAAAATAATTATTCGACGTTTATATTATATTTTTATTCTTGATGTAATTTGATGTTAAATGATTGTTGAGATATTTTTTTTTGGCAAAATTAAAAATAATCGGAGAAAATGAAAACCAGGCTAAAAATTTATTGTAATTACGAATATCTGGTATCTCATGATTATTGATAATTATAGTCCATAAAATATCGTTCCAAAACAAAATTTTATTCATCAAACGTCATTACTGCCCCGACTTAATATTCCACTTTGCAAAAGTATATTATATTTCATCATTAAATATCGTTTTCCATTCACTTTCAAAATATGTTTTCTCACCGCTAATATATATATATATATATATATATATATATATATATATTACACGCTCTCCAGTTTGTGGGTCATTGCAATTTTCGCTATCAAGTATCGTTTCTCATGTACCCATATACGTATTATCACGAGAATGGCGCGCGATATATCAAAAAACACGAGGCAATAATTCGCGCCATACGAAATGCAAACATACGTTTCACGGGAGAAGTGCATCAGAGTGAAGTATTCCCTACGCTCGTCCCACCTTTCTCCGCGATTTACATATCTCTGCCATAGTATATTTCCCAACGTGTACGTCTGCGAGTGAAAGGTGTGCACGAAAATACTCCATTTTGTCGCCAAACAAGTCGTCCAATCTTTTTCTCCCTTTTATTCGGCCCAGGTAAAAAAAAGAATTATAAAAATACCAGAATTAACGAGTATCAAAGGACGTTCTGAAAATAAAATAGCGGCGACGACGTTGCGTTTAAGCTTGTGAAAATTGTTGAAAGTTTTTAAAAAAATTAATATTAATTTACCAGAAATTTTGGTTTATCTCCCGTTTTACGATTATCGAAAATCATTTTACAATACAATCCCAATATTGGAATTGCTCAACTTGTAAATACACGATTGTTATGAAAAATAATTACGTATACGCGCTTAAATAATTTTAGTAAAAGCATATTTTTAAAAACAAGTCAATTATTGAGTTTGCTTAATTTTAATTCTATTTTCTGATTAACTATCGAGCAATAAATAAATAAACTCGAGTAAAAACAATTGAACGTAACAAATAACCATTTATGATTGAAGGAAACGTAAAAATTGTAATGATTGCAATTAAAACCATAATGATAACGAGTTAAAGAATCGATGTATCAAGTCAACGATTTTTAATGATCCCAAGTCTGATTGCTCAAAATAAGTTCGATATCGTAGCTCTCGAACGATGTAATCAGCATCTTTTGTGATGAATTCTAAAAGGAAGAGTGATACGATAATTTTCGATTCCATAAAATGGCGAAAAAATTAATATTTTCCATCGTTATTTCTGTTAAAATTTAACGCGATAGACGTTTATGGGAAATTTAAAATAGAATAATGAATTTCTTTCTAGGATAATCGCTGCTTTTCGCTCTTCAATCATCGTGCTAACCACATCCAAAAATTTGCATCCGTTCAATCGGCACACCTGTGCAAACTGAATCAAAACTCCTTTTAATAACCGTTATATAATCGAATATGCAAATGAAAATTCTCATGAATTTTTATGTATCCCCTTTCTTTTTTAATCTATTAATTGAGATTACATTGTTATTAAAAAGGTATAACGGGATATTTACGATCTAATAAATGTTAAGTATAACGATATAATTAATCGTGTAACGTAACACAGGATAAATATATATTTTGTATACGCGCGCTTAAATATTAGCGCGATAAGAATAGATTAGAATATCGAGGCACGTTATAAAATTACCGGGCTGGCTAATTTCCCCTAATTTATCACGATAATCGCTCGTCGAGATAACATAATTATCCAATTCGTTCTTCGTACACCGTGTCATTAACGTATTATTGAAATTCACACAAAGCGTGATAAATCGACGCTTTTCACATTCAACGAAGATAATTTAATATAATTAAATAGGAAGGATAAATAGAACTTACGTTCACGAGCTGCATGTATTTCCGTACTCCAATTTCTGTAACAAAAAACGGGAAACTTTGATAAAATTCGAAAAAATATTTTCATTATATATATATATATATTTAATAAAAAGAGATTCGTATTTTTCTCCAAAAAGCGCACACTGAATATTACGTTGAACCTATGCGAATGGTTTCTCGGTATTCGGATGCGTGTTATGAAGCTCGCGGAGTGCGTTATAAAACTCCATTTTGCGATTATTATCTTTCGTAAGTGTAGCAGGGCCGCGAAGTCCACCGGTATATTTGCCTCGCCGCGGACGAACGTACGAGATAAACAACTGCAGCGTTTTAGCTTTAGAAAACTTCTATTTTAATACGCGCGCATACGATACGATATATTTTTCTTCTGAACCACCGTTCGGATGGATAAATTTTCGAAATTTGGAGAAGTAAAAATTTTTCAATTTTTCTTCGATTGAAAATTTAATGTTTCTTCCCGAGTAAAAGTTAAAAAGATAATAATACGATAGATAAGGATGATGGTATGAAATTTGGAGGGGAAGGGGAGGGGAGGGGATCGTTAAGATTCGAATGGGAAACGACGAAAGGTCACGTATAAAATTCGGTAATAAAGAATCCTCCGGTCCTCTGGATTTCGTCCAAAAAATAGCGTCACTTATCTCTTTGAATGAACGGCCATTGGATGGCATTGGATGAAGGGTGGAGGATTTAATTTATAGTCGAATTTTCTCCTGTTGAGTCAATTTTAGCCTGTTTATTGAAAAAAATGGGTAATTTTATCCCCATGGGGTTGATTTTATCTATGATAAAACGTATGAAATTATTCTATAAATTATTTCTATAAATATATATTTATGTATATATGTGTCTTCATCCAAAAAATTTATTTCCTTATTTTCAAGCTTGAATAACCATAAATTAGTCCAAATTAGATACTCTGATGAAGATATTCACTTTCTTTTAAATTTTAAGTAAGTGAGACTACTTTTTTTTTTAATATATAACAATTAAAAAAAATGTGGTTTAAATTTCTATATTTTTAGAATTTTATAATTGGTATTATTTCCATTGATAAATTCTCATAATCCAAACTTTACTTTTGAGAGAAGTTTTCAAATTCACTTTTGAACTTTCTGACTTTTCTAAAAAAAATATTTTTGTCACCTAATATCATCTTAATCTCTGTCTGTCTCTCTCTCTCTCCTATCTTCTCAGAGTTCCTAGAATCGTTTTCTTGGCATTCCTCTGACATTTACTCCATCTTTACGAGGATCGCGCACAATACACGAGATAACTTCCAACTTCGATTTATGATAACTTACCAAAATTGCGTTAAAAGCTTTTCCATTTAAAATACGAGTTTTACGACATCGCTTCAAAATCGTGAATTAAAATCACTATAGCGATATAGTGAAACTCGATATTCAAACATTAGTATAATTACATCTATGTATCATGATACCATTAAATACGTTTCTACGATATTTCAATCAGATCTCTAGTGATAAATAATATCCTAGAATTATTCTCACTAATAATTCCTGAAACTACTTAGAAATTATGTACACTATTATGTAAATATAGTACACTATTATGTATGTATGTATATATATATATACACATTTTCAATTAATCTACCAGTATGAAGAAATGATCTTGTCTCATAAATAAAGAGTACATAAAAGTGACATTTAATATCATCACGATACCATTAAATACGTTTCTAGGATATTTCAATCATATCTCTAGTGATAAATAATATCCTAGAATTATTTTCACTAATAATTCCTGAAACTACTTAAAAATTATGTACATTATATATATATATATATATATATATATATATATACACATTTTCAATTAATTTACTAGTATGAAAAGAAATGATCTTGTTCCATAAGTGGAAAATACATAAAAGTGACATTTGATCGTTATTACAGATACCGGTAGATAACGTTCGACTGTTGACAGATGATACATCGTAACTCGCCATTGTCGCGTTATCATAATAGCGATCTCAAGAGTCACACTGTTTATCCTTACAGACACGTAATATGTTTCATAATTCCGGCATAAATATTTCATAGCGCATAATGCATCATGCCAATCTAAATATTCCATCATTTCCATTATATCGTGTTCCTGCTTATCCTCTATCGGCTCTAGAGGCCTTGTCTACTCGTTCAAACGGGAGAAGCGAAATCGGTAATTTCGGATCGCTGGAAATACGTTTTTCACAGATGATTTCATCGTTTCGATGTGTACGTAGATTATCCCTAGTAGAATTTCAGCTATCCTCGATGCAATTGACATTGAGCCAGAATTACCAACCTTATAATGCCTGAGTACATTTATTTAAAGCGTGTCGCGTGTTTTTTTTTTAACTATTCGAGAGAAACGAAAAATCCGAAATATATCTTTTTCGTTTTAATTCTGCGATTTATGAATGACAATTAATATATAGATCGTTTTGTCGATGAGAAAAAAATTTATTTACAGATAGCTCTATAAAAATTTTAAACAATTATTCCAATTAATAAACTCACTTTAGCACCATTTTCAATAATAAATATTTCACGTTTCCCTAATAACCATAAAACAATTCTTTCGAACACCATTTATTTCATTCGAATAATTATTTCCAATACTTTTCACTCAAATACACCGTATATAATAGGCTCGCGGGAGAAATCGATTTTTGCAGGCCAAATGCACACACCCCCTCCTTCCTTTTCCGCATAAATAACAAGCACGTTCCAGTTATATGAATTTTCTCTCTCGCTCGCTCGCTCTCTCTCTTTTTCTCTCGCCACGTTTCGAAATCAGATTTCACGCAGGTGTAAGATTTACGCGGACCGTGAATCGAGGCATGCGCGTTTCACCGTCATTTTCTCCGTTTGCTTGGAGGACAGTGGACAGCAAACGCCTAGAACAGACGTAATAAATTCACCTCTGTTTGCTCCCTTTTCTCCCGTAGCCACGTATCGTGAATTTAATCGAGATCTCGTCTCGCTCCTATCCTATATACCCTGCTGTCCCTCTGATAACGTATCATGCGCCACTGTCACATCTGTGATCAAAAAAAAAAAAAAAAAAAAAAAGAATTCTTCCTACGTTTTCTCATTATGGAGTGGAAATTATTGGAGTGGGATTAAAAGGTTTAAAGATGGGATAGGGAGAGAACGATGGAAATTAAAAATTTAAAAATTATTATATCGAAAATTTCAAATTATCCAAGAATTTAAAGAGTGATTTTTTTTTTTTTTTAAGGAATGAGATAAAAATTGAGAATGGAAAAATTTTATTGGTAAATTTTATTTTCTAATTTTTTGATCAAAAATTGATGAATATATTTGAGTATTTAAAAAGTGATTTTTGAGAGTAAAATAAGAAGGAAATCAAGAATGAAAAATTTTCGTTCGAGGCTTTATTTTTTTGATTATTGTTGCATTTTCATAAACTTTTGACAAACAAACACTCTTGATTTTCATTTTATTTTTCTCATGAAGAATCATCTTTTAAATTTTGTGATATTTTTCTCTTAAATTTTTAATAATTGATTTTTTTCCCCCCAAGAAATCACAGTAATATGGAAATAGGATGGAACTAAACAGGATATTAAGATTTGTCATTCCCTTTTAAATCTCTAAAATTTGCTTAAACTACGTACTTAAGAGCAAAGAAACTCTATGCTAAGCTGCATCGTAAACTGTGAACTAATCCAAAACAAACTTCGAACTAACTATAATCCTAACAGTATGGCACACTTCGAACGTGTCTTTCCATCTTAACTAAGCTACTCAATAATTAAATTTACAATATCCTCGTTAATTGCATTCAACCTAAAGAAACGAATCTGTCATATCTATATTCAACAGAATAATTTTTAATTTTTAACCTAATAATGAAAATAACTGATAAAAGAAAATACCATCAGTTTCCAGTGATTGCAAATGAACAACTATATAAATAATTCTTTCTCATATGTATAAGTTGACAGTTCTTGATCCTGATTATGCAAATATCATATAATAAATTAAACTCTTCCTTCTTTTGCTACTTTCAACAATATAAGATGATTAATAAAATATCTATATTCAATTTTTAATTTACAATTTCAATAATGAAAATAACTTCAATGATGAAAAAAAAAATATCATCCAGTTATTGCAAATGAACGACTATATATTATAAATAATTCTAAGGAAAATAATAATTCTTTCTCATATATGTAAGTTGACAATTCTAATTATACAAATGTCATATAATAAATTAAACTCTTCCTTCTTTTGCTACTTTCAACAATGTGAGATGACTAATAAAATATCTATATTCAATTTTTAATTTACAATTTCAATAATGAAAATAATTGATTAAAAAAAATACCATCAGTTTCCAGTGATTGCAAAAGAAATATATATAAACTGACTATATATTATAAATAATTATTATAAATAATTTCATATATTGTAGATTGACAATCCTAATTAATATAGTAAATTAAATTCTTCTTTTGCTACTTTTAACAAAGCTTAATAAAATTTACAATACGATAAATATTTAACTATAAATAAGACGATTCTCCCATTCTCTTTTATTTCTCTCGTTCCTCTCGCCAGGGAGCAAGAAATCCTTAAGAAAGGAAATCGGATTTTCTCTCGGTGAGACGCGATAAAGTAAATTTTTTTTTTTTTCTTTTTTTGTTCACCCTTGCCCAACTTGTCTTCCATAGATATAATCTCAGTCTCTATCTACATTTGTAAATCGTTTTTTGAATACGGTTTCACTTTTTTTTCTTTCTTTTTGCATCTCAAGGGGAATGGCTAAGATAAGCTCATTGTTGGAACAGTTTCCAAAAGTGTATCAATATTAATTTCTCGTTTCAAATTATCACTATGAGAATGTTTCATTCGAAACACTCCTTTTTTATTGACATAATACTTTTCTCATTGCAATCGAATCATTCTCGATAACTTTTTTTCCTCCCTTAAAATTAATTAATTCTTTTATTACTATCCATTTCCTCCTTGTCTTTATCGATTTATTATCCAATTACGAAAAAAAAAAAAAAAAAAAAAATTCTACTCCTAATCCTTAAACGCTCGAAACACAAATGACCATCGGTATTTAAATAATTAAACACCACCTGTCGAGAGAATCGCCCTATAACGAGGCACGTATCGGCCGACGATGTTAAGCCTCGCGAAAGAAACGGGTATACTACTTAAACGAGGCGGCCAACCTCGTTAATTAGCCGTTTAGAAAAGGGGCTTCAAAGGCGTTGTCGTCGTCGTCGTCGTCTCGTTCGAGTAAACGTTCTCCTGGTCGAGGAGAGCTCGACCGGAAACTCGAGATTCTTCGAGCCGCGTAGACTCGCTCGATATCCGCCCATAGAAGGCCCAGACCGGCATGGAACCCGCTCAAACCCTTTTCTCGTTTCTTTTCTTTTTTCTTTTTTTTTTTTTTCTAACGACCCTGTTCAACCGGGAAATGTAAACATCCCCGGATCGAGAGAATGCTTCTTCAGAGTTGCTTAGAGATCACGAGTCATTTCCGTCCCGTAAATAATTAAGATTCCTCTTTTCACCTCACCAGACGCGCGATTTTTTAAGAAGCGAGGAGGAATTTTTAAGGGGATAATAAGTAGTGGAGAGTAAATCTTTTCATCCGAGTGGGAGGATGGGCAGATATTAATCTCCTCGTGTTTAAAGGCGTTTGGCTTTTGTTCGAAAATTTGATGTAAAAGGTGTAGTATTTTGATATTTTTTTTTTTTTAGTTTCGAGGTATCTAACAGATTGTTTTCGAATATCGTTTCTCTTTATTCGAATTTGTTTTCTTATGCATATGTTGGTTTGAGTTAATATTAAAGTATTTAGTTTGATAATTGATAATTGTGAGAGAATTGAAAAATTATTTCGATGATAAATTGGAAGGAAATGTGATCAATCGGTATCGTTTCGTTTCAATGTAAAAAAAGATTTGTTTTTACGATCTGTCTTTAATCACTATCGTTGAATAAATTATTAAATTATTATCATAAAATAATTATTGAAAGAAACATTAGATGTTTGGTTGATTTAAAAAAAAAAAAAAAAAGAGTACAATGTATCGATTATTATCTTGCATGAAAATGCGATAACGAGAAAACCATAAAAATTTAATCTTCCATTATGTAACGCGTTCGTATCGATCGAGTTTATTTTCCCCCCTTTAAAGTTCCATAAAAAAAAAGAGAGAGAGAGAAAAAAAAAGATTAATATTTTCGATTAAAAAAACGATTTTAGAGGATTATGCACGCGATTTGATAAAGGAAAAGTTTCGATAGAACGTAAAAATGGCTATGCTAGAAGCAGATGGATTTTGTACAAGAGAGAAGAGTACCTTCGCATTTATCTCGCTAAGGTTTCCATTATCCACTATAGTATGCAGTACTCACGTAACGTACACTGGTTTAATTAGATTGTTTACTTAAGAAAATCGTATATTTACGGATTAACCATAGTACACTTTTTCTCCTTAAACCGATTTCTTGATGACGTTGAGCAATTTCCGCTAAGTATCCTTTGGAGGTTGGAGATTAATGCCATATTATATTGTTCTGACATTAAAAAAAGAAAACTTGGCTTTCAAACTTTCAAACTTTAGAATCTATCTATCGTGCTCCAATTACTTATCACCTTGTTAAATTATGAATCGTGATTTTGTTTTGATTTCTAAAAGTTGAAATTATTCTATCCTCTATAATCCATTACAAACTTTAACTATGCTAAGTTATCAATCTTTTTTTTAAATCTATTCTCCAAAAAATATTGCAAAATTTTAAGAATCATTCAGAATTATAAAAGATAAATCAATCGAACATTCGATTTTTTCTGTACGTTTTTTTTTTTTCTTTCTTTCTTTCTTTTCTATCGTTCTGATTTTAAAAGACTACAACGTAGTTAAAAGCATTGGTCAAAGTAATCAACTAAGAGGGGAAAAAAGATATTTAACATCTTTCCAACCATTCAGCTTTTCCCTTGATCTCTCCTCCTCCTCTTAACAGCTTTACAAAGAGGAGAAAAAAATTGGCAAGCAAGTTCTCGTGCGCGCAAAAAATCGTTCGCGCTAGTCATTATACGTAAGCCCAATTAAAAAGCATGGTAATAGCTGCCAACTTTTTTTCTTTCAAACCTTTCTTCACGGTAGTCGTCGAATGTTTTTGACCAGGCTTGCGAAAAATTTCCCTTCATAGAATCACGTTAATTCAACCCGTGCATATTATTCCAATAATTCAACGAGAATAATATTAATATCTTAATAATTTACGTACGTATTTCGTATTACGTAACGTACGGATATCCGATCATTCGGTCGAATTCGGGAAAGATCGGTTCGGTTCGTATACTCTAGACTTCGGGTAAGTTCGGAAAAAATCGGACGAGCTCGGATGACTATCCAATATATTCAAAATATTAGCTAGTTTAAAAGTGCGTATAAATTAGAATGCAATCGTTGGAAATATTAAGTAAAATAAAATCGTAATTGTTAAATATCTGTAAAGAGATCCAATGTATGATCTATGCGATACTAACGTTGGATAAATGACGATTATAAGTGTTAAATAACATAAGATTTTTTGTGATCAGTGATGTTCGAATAGACGGTTGCTTCCATTAACCCACATTCAGAAGTTTACCTATTTGATTCAACGTGTAAAGGTAGCATTCGAATAGGCAGATTCGAGTCGATATTTAACGATTGAAGTTGGGTAATATACGTATTGTTATTATTATAGCATCAACTATAGCAACCATTTCACATTACAATTTCACATTACAATATCTATTCCAGAATCTCCTTTATCTCTTCCATTAATTACCTTCCATTAATCCTTATTATATCAAATTCCCTAGACGGCTATTTTTTTTCTCTAGTTCTGCCGCCTCTGTTTGCACGACTGAAATCTCGAGAGAGATCTGGGAAAAAATTTCTACTTTCGCGAATTGTGGCTACGCAATTACGTAAATCGTGGAACGAGTTATTACGGGATGACCGACATTTGGAAAAATAGAGTAGAAAGCAGGGTATTTTTGCGAAGATTCAAAAGCAACGTTGGATGCGTTTTCATGAATTCGCGAAGGACTCGGTCGAAAAGGGCTTTTGCCGTGTTACTCGTTGTTACGCGACACACTTTGTTCCAGCGAAGAAAGGCGAATATGAGGCGAGTGATAAATGCTTCTCGAGGAAAAAAAGGTTTTTCGAGCACGGTGGATAGTTGTGAGAGAAGAAGAGGCTGAAGGAGTGATTGTGTTGGAAGTGTGGTTTAAACTCTACAACTCTCGAAGTCTTAAGCCGGGGTGAGGAAGCGTAAGAGAGTTTCTCGAACTTACACTTCTTCTTATAGATATTTGCTCTAAAAGAAGGAATTGTTTTTCGAAGAAAGTTGTACAATATTTGAGAAACAAGAATTATTTACCAATCGAAAATAATTTAAGTATGTTATGAACGATACTGTACATAAAGATACGTTATTCTTATTTAATCATCTGATTTGATCATCCGTATTCTCTCCGTAATAATCCAGAAACGAATTTTAATTACGATAATCATCACACCTGTCAGATCCATTCTTTCCTTCGCCCATATTTATAACAAACGTTCAAATGTAAATTTTCCTTCGCCATCCATTATTCCATCCATTATATCCTCTTGACAGTCTAACAACCGATCTGCGTCATGTTATATTCATCGTGGCTTCGTTCATACAATTCCAAAAGGTCGTTGGAAACGAGTTGGTCCAACCTGGTTCCAACCTCAAATTTCAATTTTCTAAATACGAAACATTTCCGTGAACCGCGCACATTGCGCCGATCGATTTGAAAATCGTTGGGGGGACAAAAAGGTGGGCGGGGTCCACATGCACGGAATCAAAGGGGTTTAATTGGAGAGTGGCATGGCTTTTCAACGACGTGGCATTAGAGCTGCATTGAACACGTGGAATGATCGAAACCTGTGTTTTCTACGTCATTTTTCAACAAAAGTGGTCTGATTCCGAGGTAAGCATTAATGAAATATCGTGTAAAAGGAGAAAAAAAAAAAAAAAAATGTGCAGCGGGCTGGATTATATGCGACAGATATAACAGGTCAGATTAGAATTAAATTAAAATTTCATGATAAATACTAATGAGATCTCGCGTGTGAGGAAATTGAAAAAGAGAAATATTTATCTGTTATCTTGGCAACAAAGTGAATTTAGATATGCGTATGGTATAATTCTGTGAAATTAAATTAAGTTAATATCTTGTTTCTCAAAAATTTATAATCAAATTTTTTTAATTATTTATTGGAAGGGAAAACTTTTGCAAACGGAATAAAGAATTTCTCGTGATGAAAATTATGATTAAAGTCGTAAATTCAATTTTATCTGTAACAATACATACATATAAGAATATTTTGCACAAGTAGAAATTAAAATTTCTTTCTTTTCTTACTCGTGAAACTCGTTGACATTGAACTCGTAACCTCATAACCTATACCAGTTTCATCAACTTTAAATTAGTTTTAAAAAGTTCAAGAGTTCACTTTTCACTTACTTACATTACGCAATTATAATTGCCTTACAGTTAAATTTATACGTATAAATTTAAGTTAAAATGTTTTCCAATTTTTCTAAGTTGCTGATACATTTTAGAAAAATATATATAATTTTTCAATTACGTGGAATAATAATTAAACACATTTGACAAATGTAGCAAATAAAAAAAATCTAACTTTACTAAGATATAATTACCTTTACAAAAATATGTAAAGATCACAGGTCTCTTTAGAATCAAACGACTTTGTTTCCACAAAGTTGAATTATTTTTTTTTTTTCTTTCGCAATAATCAAATAATCGTTTATATTTTTTATATAATTTTAAAATCGAAGAACAAAATCTTATTCGAAACGTTTTGTAAAAAGTGAAAAGCATACGCGATACCGTTAGCAAGAAGTAATTCAAGGTTCGAAACCGGCAAAGCCATCCAGCTAAATTGCAATTTCCTTTACCTCGAGGGAATATTTTTCCTTTTTTTCTTTCTTCTTCTTCTTTTTTCTTTTTTTTTTTTCAACCGAAATAAACGCAATCTCTAAAGCTAAGATAGAAATGAGTTTCACCCGTTTACGTCGACTTCTCATGTACAGACCGTCATTTGGAGTGACACGAAGAATTCCTGTCCTGTGGGCAATTTTGCTTTCTTTATAACAATTTAAATTTTTCCCATCTTATAATCGGTTACTTTTCCAATAATAATAATTCTCGCGAATAAGGTAATTCTTCAATAATTATAACGTGTATTACACGAGATATTATTCTCCTTAACATTCGATCATTGAATAATATTATCAAACAAACGTCACATAAAATTCACAATTATAATCCACTCTTCAACTCTTGTCGAAAGTTAACCTTCAATATTGTAAAATATTCCCCCTCCAATTAATCTTGTCCTACATCCCCTTCACCCACATTTACATTTCCCTTCGTCGAAATCGAAACCAAGAAGAAGACGCTCGCCCCTCCCTCCCATCCCCCGAATGCAATTCCATCGTGACAGAATTTCCACGTCGAGAGCCAACTTTTCAACATTCGCCTCCTCCCCCCTTCAACGCTAGAAAGAGATGGAGAAAAAAAAGAATAAATATATATATATATTATATATATATATATTTACACGGAAGCAATTTTCCTCGCAGCGTTTTTATTTGGTGGAAACCTCTCGTGTTACCTCTCGGTGCTAATCTCGGCTGTTTCCGTCGTTCGACGGCATTTTACAATCCGCCACCCCTTTAGACGCCGTGCAAGGAGGAGATCGATGAACGCGAGAAACGCGCGAGGTACACGCAACTTGTGCTTTACGTAAAAAGCTTTTATATAAGGAGGTATAAGGTCCCGGCCTTTTTCACGGGAGGTGAAATTCGATTTTCGAGAAATCGTTTAAATTTTTCTCTCTCTCTCTCTCTCTCTCTTTCGTCTGGAGACTTCGAACGCGTGTTCTCAACCGTGAAAAAAATGATTACGGCTTAGTGGAGCTATTTTGTTACGATTTTTATTTTAGAAAATAGTTTTTATAAATAGTGATTTTTTAGTGATTTTTTGGGAGGAGAAGAGGAATAGAATAGTAATAATTAATTAATTTCGGAAAGTTTTTAAAAAGGGGAAGATCGCTAATGTTGTTAGGGATGAAAATTATTTTCGTTATTCCCACGATTCTATATTGTCGAAAATATTTTTTCCTCCACTTGCAATTTTGCAGAAAAATTTTTTTAACAGAGGCACGTCCTATACGCGTCAATATAAATGCTTTCGATATGTGAAGCCTAATAAAAACGAAAATTGAACGAACCAAACGAAGATTGAACGCGTTAATAGGAGAATCGAATAATTTTCAATGGCGAATTTGTGATGGACGGAAAAAAAAAGAAAAAAAAAAAAAATATATTGAAACGAATTTCAGACAAATTTTTTGCCAAAGATTTTATTTGATTCAATATCGTGATTGTAAGTAATTATTCTCATCGATCATCTCGTTTTTTTTTTAATAATACAAATCATATAAATCAATAAATATTTACGATATATACAATACAAACATTGAACAGGAACAAAAAAAAAGAATAGCTATGCGTCAAATATAAAATTCGAAAATATGAATTATCTTTCAGTAGTTGCAAACACCATAGGCAAACTATATGTGGGGGAAAAAAAAAATCTTTTTTATGGATTTTTAAATAGACATTTATATATCGTAGAACTTGGTGATAAAGAGTAGCTCATAAATCATATGTTAAATCTTGATATATTCAGGAACAGATAACATACTATATATCTATCGTGTGTGACAGTTCAGATATTTTATGTGTATCCACTTTTTAATATTATTAGAAAAATATATATATATATTATAAATTTGAAGATTCATTAATGTTTTAAAATAAATAATCGAAGAAAGTAATAATAAAGAATGAGGGAATCTTTTTATTAAGAAATTTCAATTATCAATGCTCTTTATAAGGAAATAGTTTCATATTGCGTAGGCGTGAGATATTCCATTCACGTATCGATGTAATAAACGGGCTGTGGTCAAATTATTTTAATTCAACTTTCGTGCTGCGGTTTTCGCCGGTGGTCATACTAGTAAATTCTTTACGTTGGTTTAGTTAGAAAAATAGTTAAAAATCACCAGTATTGCATAATTTTCGTCCATTTTGTTTTTTTTTTTTTTGCATTCAATTTCTACCGATTAATGAGAGATAATAATTTTTAATTATCTAAAGATTTTTTTATGCGAGTCAACACACATAGTTCAATACAATCATTCTAATAATTATTTTAATCAAAAATCTCTGTGATAAAACTACACTTTTTTTCAATGTGAAACAAGATCCACATATATATATATATATATAATTAGAAATTTTAATCTCTTGACATTAATATTTCGCTTCTCATCCTTTGTTAGCCGCAATAATTTTTATTAGAAATTTTCTTTTTTCTCGCTACAATTTTAAAAAATCCAAAAAGAAAAAATAGATAGAAAACTTGCCCCCTGAATGCACGATTTATCTTTGAATAATGCAAAACGTATGTATCGGCTTGAATTATGATAGAATAATTTACGATTTAAGGGTATAAGACAGCGGCGGTATACAAATGTACGTTGAAAGGTATTCTTCCAACCCTTTCTACCACGAAGCTATGCCTTCGAGGTAAAAGCAATATTTGACATTCCACTCAAAGCATCACTATCGAGACACACGGAATAGTAGATTAATCCCGCCTACTGATTTTCAAACAGATAACGAGTAAAAAGTTTTTCTTTTTTTTTTTTTTTTTTTTTTTTTTTTTAACTTCTGTAAGCAAGCCGGTCCATAAATCTATGAATATTTTACTCGTCACTTTTAGTCAGCTTTCACTGTATCGATGCAAATTTTTTATTTGTAAAATATTTACACGAACGTACGTACGAAAATACGTAGAGGATGTAGGGGCTGTAGGGAAAAAGATATTCTTCGTTTAAATTTTTTTTTCAAAGTAAACACATATTTCAGGAAATATTTTGAATAATTAATACGAATTAAATAAAAAGAGAAAAAGATATCGTTTACAATTACGAATTAATTTATTTATCGATTTATTTATCCCGAATTGTGTCGAAGAAATATAAAATATGGATCGACTTGTGAAACTTGTGAAACTCGAAGATACGGTTTCAAAGTTGCGCGCACAGTAGGTGAGGTAAGAATTCTCTTCACGTTTGAATGACTAAGGGGGAGGGAGAGAGCCTTCCTTGTTGGAACGACTTCTCTGTAATAGCTACAATTTCAAATTTGTTTGCAACTTTTCATTACTTTGCCTCGCAATCTCCGGCATGCCATTCCACTGTACCAGTTCACGTCCATCTTTATTTTTATGCCACGTGTCGTCGAGCATACAATTTTTCAAATGGATTTTAACGTAACGAAAGTTATTTTTTTTTTTTTTTATACACACACTTTTTTTTAATGGAGTTCAGTTCGAGTATACAATTTTCAGAGTGGATTGTGATTATATGATACGATGAAAGAGTATTTTTTTTTTTTTTTTCCATACGAGTTGCCATTTGATTTATGTTCCTTTTTTTCTTTACCTCGAGAACCTTTCTTTCACGAAGCAAGAAACTTCTCTTATCCGAATTGTCTCTTGGCTTTTTTTTAAAAGAAAGGAAAAATAAATTTCTTCCTTCCAAGTTCGAGGAATATTGTGGAAAATTTACGAATCATTATTTTATCGATCATCATTTTTAAATATTTTTAAATTTAAATATCTCACTAATTTTTCTTAACGTTAAAATTACAATACACAATAACCTTAAAACAAATATCGATGCAAATTGATACGGATTATTAAAATATTTACCAATTATAGCAACACTTTACATTGCAAATATTGAAATGAATCAAACGCTTAATCGAGTAATTTTCAAGGCAAACAACCTGCATCGCAACGACAAACATCCGCCTGTGTTTTATTAGAGT